GGATTCATTGAATTAAATTAACAAAGACGAGACACGCTGATTTTTGGATGATTTCGTCAACAGCGAGTCGTGAACATCATCAGGCAAAACTCCCTTGGGGTAGATATTGCTTAAAACACGGAAACCAAATAGCCACTGCTGTCAATCAAGAAAGGAACAAAACATGACTTCCTCGATACAAAAACCACTGCACTGTAAAATAACAAAAAAGTTTTATCATTGAAATAAAGCAAACATTGCCGTCGAAAGCCATTTTCAATTTAGTGTTTTAATGCACTGAATTAAAATCAAAGAAAAATTCATCCCAGCGCTTAAATCTGAACGAACACAAAACAATCAAAGTTTTATCAAGATTATGTGGCGAGGAGAAAAATTATTTCAACACCAGTCAGCGACTATGAAAAATTCAGTCGAAAAATTGGCTATACGCACACCTTCGTAGTTCTGCAACGAGTTTGTAAATTTCACATATTCAGACAGTACTTCACGGAGCCAGACTCTTGCAGACATGTGAGACCTGAGGTTCACATGGCGGCGAATATGAATACGGTTGTATTCTGGGTTGTAGCACCGTTTATTATGGCAAACGTTTACCGACGTTTCAGAGGCATTTGCTGGTTCCATCAGCAAGGCGATAAATAAATGTCACGTCAAAGTCAAAAACTTCGTCTCTAAGTGCGTACGACGTATTACATATTCTACCAGCCGTGCATCTTATTTTCTTCCAGGTATAGACTTAAAGGGGCCGGATTCGGTTTAGAACTATCAGCACCCCAGATTATAATTTGCTGATATTCTTAAGAAAGTGTCAGAGGAAATAGGCATACGCGTTGCGATACGACGGATAACAGTAATGTCACTGACGTTACCTACAATATAATTTCAAATAAACTTCAGAACTTCTAATAAAAATGCCAGAAGAAAGATTATGAACAGACACCTTGAATTACGGTGGCCATGGCGAACGTAGGACGGACGGACGGACGATCTCAGGGGGAGGGTCATCTAGCTTGACAGGACAGTTATCGTAAACGTGATGGTCGGCAGAGACGCTGTCCGGCGTAGCGTAGGACCCGAACCAGAGTGGAGACCCCGTACTCCCCACATACATACAATTTTGAACTCCTTACAGGTATTGCAAGTGTCTCAAACTTTCTGCGCGAAAGAATAACGTCTCATTCCTTGACTATCAGATTCCACAAGAATTTTTAAAACCGATCCACATCGTTGTAACCTTAATGAGTCACTTGTCAATTTCCAGTAATATAAAAAAGGTAATATATTTTTTTGTAATTCATATCATTGCCCAACGTCCCTGATATTGATTAGACATGCTCGAACTATGCAGCCTAATAAGGGCAATGATGCGAATGCAAAGAATAACTTATAGATGAAATTTGTTGTATTCGCAGTAATTAATAAATGAACCACTAGACATTAATTTCTTAAAGTATCCTAAGGTAAAATAAAAGTAGGGCAAATTTTGAGAGCGCCTACAGCGCTAACAAGGAATAATTTGAAAGTAACAGCTGTACTATTAGTATAGAACTATTTTAATTTGCCTTGTTAACGATACACACTGAAAGCCCGTGCAAAAGTACTTTGTACAGTAATGACTAGAGAAGCTGCCCCTGACAAAGACTGGTTATGTTAGACATGTAATATGCTATAATTTGTACGATACGAAGGGACAAAAATTAGAAGTGTTCCAGGTCCCGTGTCACATCAATGTCGCCAACAAAACAGGGAGAAACTGTCTTAATGCAGAACGGGACTGGCCACCTGAGGGTTTTTATCTAAGAGGCGGTAAACGGGGCTTTGACAAAAAGCAGATTGGTAGCCCGAGTGTGGCGTGGCTTCGTATCAGTCTCGCTGTAATTTAGCAACCGACGAGGCCAAACACGCTCTGCTTCGAAGAGTCCTTCCGTACGTCCTTACCGACTTCAGACAATCACTTAATCGGCACCTGTTTGCTTGGCTCCTCAGGGCTCTAGACTCTCGGAATTGAATTAAATTAGGGTGCTGCGCCCTGTAATTCGCTGCGGCGCGAGGTGGCGAACCCCCCTCTGCCCGCGAGCATTAGCACGCGAAAAAAAAAACTCCCCCCCCCCACCTACTACACGCAACAGACACCACAGTCGATGCTAATATCAACTGCAGACTGCAGAGGTATGTACATATGAAGAGCAGATTTAATACTGTAATTACTAATGATGGTACACAGACGAGTTCTCGCACATTGTAACATAGCGTAAAAAACTTTGTACTTTGCCCAAAAATTAAACTTAAAAAAAAAACAGTCTAGCCTCTAAGGAACCGTTTGAATGGGTCTACTGTCCATGCTCATACAGATTTAAAGTGTTTTTTGCTTACAAAAAACAGCATCTAAAAATGACTCCAAGGTTATAAACAAGGCTACATTGAAAGTAAAACACAACTGTCCAAAAAGCTAATACTTACCTTAATACCGGTATTTACGAAAAGAGATCTGAAAACTCTTTAAGGTTCTGGGGGTCAGAAAATAATTCTGACTTCATTATCGGCTTCAAAATTACAGAAATTATAGCGCAGACACTTCCGTACACATTTTAATAAATACTAGGAATATCAGTCGATATGAGTTTAAACATCACACATAATAAACGAACGAATAAAATTAACGACATGTGTAAGTGGGACAAAGAAGCGTATTATTGTTATTACTATTTTACAGTAATTCAATTACAGCTTACTCATATTAGTATTTATTATATAACGTACCTCGTAATTCTGAAACCAAACTACACGCTGAACAAAGAGATAAGAAAAACATGTGATATCGAGGATTATTTAGAAATGAAATTCATATCTGGGTCACAAAGTCTGCCATGCAACAATAATTCTAACCACATACGAAAGGAAATGTGCTTGTGCAAAATCCAATTAATTTAAACAGAGTTTTCAGGTTTTGCTAATTAACTGGTCTTCGGAGACAGACATGTATGAATGGTGAAAACATCACTTTTCATGCAAAGACTGACAAGTAAAATGTCAGAAAGTTGTAAAAAGGGTCATTCATTACCATCCCATCTTCATCAAGTCACTGTGTAAACAATAACACAGCATTTCTAAGAAATTGTGTTATAACCACAGTGACCATAGTTACTATTCAAATGCCGAAAATCTGCCTTTATATTCAATTAAAACAGGCATTATGACGTCATACTAACTTCATCCTGTGAGGCAGACGTTAAATGTACAGGTTCTCTTTACGTAACAGCCTACGAAGTTCTATTGTTCTCTTAAATTAAATAACTCCAGTTCGCCTTCAACATTTGTGTAACGGGTCCATAAACCCCTTTAAACTATACACAACAGTACCAACGGGAAAATACTCTCTTAGAGAAAAACCGAAGTTGCACTACAAAGAGACTTGGTGATTTGGGAAAAACACTTCTTTGTTCGAAAAATGCGATAAGAGTACAATTGTCATCAATTGTCATCCACTCGTGCGAAAAATAGTACCGCAAGTGAATTTGTGGGTATCCAAAAGGAGTCAAATTTCTCGACGTATAAGCGGGCATGTGTACATTGACAATATCAGTACCCTTTCCATTCGCCTTCAGTAAAACCGCACATTAGACCAACAAATGTGTCGTGTACGTCTGTATGTAAAATACATCCCTTAAGGAGTTTCGTAATTAATAATCGTAATTAGTGGTCAGGTACGGAAGCCAGTGTTCTTTTTTTTGAAGGAACGACATGTGGAGAGCCAGAAATTGCGTGACTGTCGCAGCCCACCATGACAGCAGATGCATATCGGATCCACAGACAGTGTCTGCCACTAATTCTCAACAAGTGATCTGCAATCAAGTAAACCCTTCCGTACGTTCGTAAGACCTCGCAACAACGTAAAAAGTTCACTAAGGTATATCATTACCGTGTTCGGTGATAACAGTATTTAAGTGGAACACTACACCAAATTCTTATAATTCATGACAAAGCTTTAGTGTTTCAAAATATTATAAATTGTATGCCTTAACTTAAACTCTAATTGGAAGTCCTATTTGTAAAGAAAAGAACATGACTTTGATTTTTTCCCTTCTACTACATTTAACACCTTCCCTATCTACACCGTTTAATTTAGTTAAATAATTTTTCAATTGTATAGGATATCTTCCTTGAGGCTACTTGTAACTGGGTTCTGTTGCCACTCCTTAACTATAATAACTTGGTTTTTTTGTAAATTGAAAATAAGATGTCCCACGGGCTACGTCGGGGACAACTCACGACAGTAATAGCTAATAACTCTGAAAAGACCAAAACTCTTTGTAATAACAGTTACATAAGTAAGACTAGACATGCAGTGAGGAGAAAATACTTTGGAATAAGAGCTAAAGGCAAATATACCCCAAATCATCTCAGCATTAAAGCAAAATATGTGAAACATAAAATAATAAAAAAAAGACTACTTAGTCGTAGAATAAATCAAATCTTTCTTTGCGTGGATATGGAGCAGCGGCTGAATGATAATGACAGGGGAAAACAGAAGGACTCGGAGAAAAATCTGTCCTGGCGTCCACTACGAATCCCACTGAGCCCGAACCCGGCCCTCTGCGGTGCAAAGCCGACGACTAACCGCCTGAACTATGGCAAATTCTCTCGTGCCGTGTGACAATTACCAAACGCCCAGCTTCCAAATACGAGCATGAGCTAAGAGGAACGATTAACTATACAAAGAATGTCGGGAGATACAATCAGATGCCAAATGTATTCTGCACCTCACGTGACAATATTCAGTCACAAAAAAACAATGCTATGTGTTAAGTCACAAACTGCCTTGCACTCAGTCACAAAAAAAAATAAAAGAAACAATGTTATGTGTTAAGTCACAAACTGCCTTGCATTTTTGACTTATCGCACTCCATAAATATTCAAATGTGAAAATCTAGCCTTATTTTATTAAAGCACTTTGTGTTTGAAATTCTCTCTTCTCGAGAACCTTGTTCTAAAACACTTACCTTACTAACAACAATTACGGGGACATTCACGGCCTGCAGTGACCACAGGACGCTGACAGACGTATAACCTCCCATGAGGATAACGCAGACTGCCAAGTAGGAAATGGTGAACAGCAAGGCTTCTTTCAGTGAACGTCCGAAGAAGAGAACAAGGGCACCAATGACCGCTGTTTGTGAAGCCAGGAAGAAGCCCTCACCCCAGGCACTGAAATAAACTACCAGCATTACAAAACAAACAACTAACAACAGAAATTCGTATGAATTACAGAATATTATAACTAAATCGTAGGCTTACAGTGAGGTTCTAAAATATAAGACACAAACTGTTTAATAATAGCCATACTTTTATGGAACCTAAAGGTCCATTATCGTATTCACAAACCTCCGTTACCTGACTCCATTCTGAGCCAGTTAAATCCAATCAACATATTCGCGCACTATTTCTGTAAAAAGATGTATTTTTTTTAAAATTAAGCACATCGCTATGAAGACTCGTGGGAGAGTGAAGAATAGTTCCATGCATTCTTGTCCACGGCATTACGTAGAAGTTTGTGGTTATCTTAAACTTCGGCTACTTTAAACCCGGAAAAGGGGCCCTTCAGAACCCTATAGACAGAAGGTTGGGTGTACAACAGTGTCGGTCTGTAAACGTTTTCCTTAAATGTGGTTACCATACAGGAGAGAAAACGCTAAAAATAATATCACTGCTATTACGAAGAACATGTCAAGACCCTAGGAAAAGTCCATGGTTTGTCGGCGCGCCATGTGATTTCATTCCAAAGGCGAAAGAATTTTATGCTGAATTTGGACCACCGGAAACAGCGTGGCGCAAAAAGTGAACAAATACATACTTTTACCAAACATAAACAACAACAAAAGAACTTCACAGCAAAGTGTTCCTCCTTTTTTTTAATACAACTTGCAACATTCGATTTCTTGCTACGTGTTTGCTTTTCAGAAACGAAATATATTAGAAAGAAAACTTTTCAGAACAACATCCCGTATACATACCTACAACGGCACATGCCATAGGCCTCCACTAATATGAGAAAGTTAATAAACACTAACTGCTCGCAGCTACATTGTTATTTTCAATTTAAGACGAAAATTACCTTAATAAAAGTTAACAATTTTTCAAGATCCCATCATCTTCAAAATTATCTGAATTTTACACTGAAATAAGATGGTGGCTGTCTTCTCGGAAAATTCAGCCAGACTACACAGCGCTAGAGCCCATAAGATAGCCAATGTGTTGGCACTAATTATGCTTAGAAATTAAAACTAGGAAAGAGGGAATGACGATTAATCAAATTTATATAACCACTAAGTAACAATAATTGTTATTTCATACACCAATGATAAACGACAGGTACTTTCACACATCATACTGTCTAAACAGGATGATATTATCCGACCTACTGACTCAAGTATAGCGAGTACATAACATTATGAAAGTGATCTACTACCAACGACAACGGCCATGCATATGTTTCGTGGTTTTAGTCATGTATTCCAGACAACGCTGGCCTTGTAATCCTGGGGTCTCGGGTTCGATTCCCGGCGGTGCCCGAATTTATAACTTGTGTTGGGCAAGGCCGTCGTCTAGGTAACACGGAGTTTTCCTCCGTGGCATCCCAACAATTACTCCATTCACACACAGAAGAAGGCAATGGCAAACCACTTCTGGATCATCTGCCAAGAACGTATATGAACAGGTCCCAGACCGAGAAAATGATGGAAGGATCCTGTTCATATGGACCTGCCCTCAGACAGAACACTACAAATAAATAAAAATAAATCACAATAAAATATTTTATTAAATATTAAAATATTAAAATATTATTACTACAATTAACATTTAATATTTAAAATATATTAAAATGATGCTCTTTCTATCGAAATGTTCGTTAATATTTTAATATTTAATAAAATATTTTATTGTGATTAGACGGTTAAAATTAAACAATTATAATTCATCACAATATGACGCAACATAATCATCTTATAACTTCGAATTAAAATAGGGAAAAGTTATTTGTCTTCGTCATCTATTACATAGTTTCCAGACAAACTGAGTCAGACACCCTGAGAAAGGCAGTCCTCGATTATACACATAAGTCTATAAAACCACAAAATTTGTAACACTCCCTCACACGTATTTCAACAAAATGAACAATTACGGATCTATTAGAAAATTTGCAGTCGCATTTACTACCCGAACTCCCCATCTACAGAATTTAATATAACACGAAAACTTAATTACCGAAATAATAATAGGTATAACCTTATATTTAAGTTTATAATATGTAACTCGCTGTACGGAGTGAGCACTTACCATTCACGCACAAGTTAGAGAGATTTGTTAAGACGGTTTTCCTTAATCTCTGTAAAGCTTCCTTCAACCCATCCATCCAAACATCAACTGCAGTTACATCACAAATCAGAAAATTCAACTTGGCGAGTCTGAACATAACCTCCGTCACCAACTTGAACACGGGTTCAAACCACACCCTAAGTAAGATCTTCCCTCGAACTTAGCTCTAGAAACAACACTCCCTTATAACTCCATAAAGTTCACAGCAAGTAGAAGACGAAAGGGTTTGGAATGGTGGCAGAGTGGCGAAGACTTTAGAACTGGAGTGGCAGTTCATACAATTTCGTTCCTTTGTGAAGTGAAGTCTTCTTTCATTATCACGTCAAACTGAAAGTGTCATAGTTACACAGGTATAGGTATTACGTGTGTATGAAAGACACAAGTGACAAAGAAATGTATATTAATAGATAAGAATATAGCACAATTATACGTACGAAGGTTGATACGATATTCTAATACATGTAAACGTTGTGAATGTCTTTAAGCAGAACATGAACAATTGTTGGTTAACTTCAAATGTTGCATACCGAACAGATTTGTTTTTAGTAAAAGGCAACACGATTCAGTAGGATTCAGTATATTTTCCGAAAATCACTCCACATTTCATAAACCTATATTAAATTGTACTTCCCACTTCAGAAGTTCGCACGATCGCTTTTTGGAATTAAAATCCTCAAAGGTCAAGTGGGCTCCACTGGCATGACCCCAATATTCACCTTCATGGCATCGGATAAATTATGACGACAACTGTCTTCGAGGTCGTTGTGCCGTTTAACGTCGGCAAACTTCTACCAGACGCAACAACCCAGAAGACAGTCAGTCACCGTGAGAACCTGCCTTCTCAAAGCCGGTAAATTTATTTAACAGACAGCACAGATACACTTGAAGCTGTGAGCCTATATTCAAAAGCAGTCCAGTAAGTGTTCCATCCATTTGTAAAAATAAAAAAAAAAATGTGGGGTAAATAAAGTTTCTCACCCCTATCAGAAGAAAAACCACAACTTTTGGAACAAACAGCAGTGACTAACGAAAACATGGCACTAAGCTGCTTAGATAAAACAGCGTGACACATCACGCAACCACATTTGATGTTTAAGTGATTAGCATGTCTGCTATGTAGTCGGAATGTCTGGGTTCGAGTGTCTGCCCGCAGTCCAGCTATCCTAACTCTGAACTTTCGTGGTATTCCTAAGTCCCTCCATGTAATTTCATAATCATCCACCATTCGTTAAATAAAATAAGCAGCAGCAGGAACATACACGACGAACTTTGAAAGCTCCCGAAGTCTAACTCAAAAAAATGAAGAAATAGAAAACAAATATATTCAAAATATATTATGGCAGCAATCCGTCCAGCATTCACAGACCCTACGTACAACTGCGTTCGTCATAGGACATTGCAGATTCACACCGACACAGAAGTGCAGTAGAGGAAATGACACGATTATCTCGATTTAAATCGACTTTCAGTCCATTTCAACACAGGCACCGACGATTTCTGGCCATGATAAAATTTAGACTTAAGACGAGGGCCTATGTACGCCAGCCTGTTCAATGTAAAATTTCGCTGTCGAATTTTCAGGCAGTATGATATTATTGTGGCAAGAATTTATGAAACGTTTTACTATGAGACAAAGTGTCTCGAAGGTGAGTGAACCGTTACCTCTCCAAGACCTCCAAGAAGCAATTCCACCCCGACTCTTCACCTCCTCCATCTATAGCGCGTTCTATACCACCACAGGCGGACTGTTCATTCGCTTTCTCTAGTCTTATTATAAAGTAAAGAGCAATGGTAAACGCTGGGAATAAGGAAACACATTACGGTGAATAATGAAGACATGCACACACACATTATATCAGAACTTTGTGTTTTAGAGAAGGAGGGGTGCAGGAGGTTTGGAAGAGGAGGGAAGGTTAGGGAGTTCGGAGGAATGGAGGTAAGTTTCTCGCAGTTTCTTCATAGCCACCACTACCACCGCACAAGACGGTGTGTTTAATTACTGCTCCTTACCGGGTTAATGACTTCCTCCCATTTGTCGAGGTGTATATACACATGCATACACTCTAACACTTCTCTTCCGACCACCCACTATCCCTACCTAACCCACCCATTTCCTTCACCACGAAAACAAAACACGTTTACCAGTAACGTAGGGTGCTTTTATGCTTAAACGCAAATCCCGAAGCGACCGGAGCAGCGGAATACAAACAAACCCAAGTTCACACACAAGTAGCGACAATCTCCCCCAGGCAAGTATTTCAGAATCAGTAACTTCACTATGTATAACGTAAAGTATATGGATCTATGGAAGCCAAACACGCATTTGCTGGGCTCCAATGCAGGCTTAAAGTCATCTGTCTGTCCTACATTCAGCGGAGTCGGAAATACAGCGCCCTGCAATTTTAGCAAGGAAGAAAACCGAATAGGCCTATTTAAGGTTAGTGTTCAGCAAGCACGTTCCGTATCTAGGAAGCCCAGGTTTCAATTATCGGTCCGCAGGCCGGATAATATGACCATGGGTTCGCGTAGGGTTACTACTTTATGCAGGTAAATACTGAGGCAGTTTACGTTAAATCTAAAATGATTGCTTCCTTCGACATTTTTCTCAGTGAGTCATTAAGTAAACTAAGACAGGGGAATTAAAGTAGATGAAGATTTCTGTCTTCTGGGTTGTTGCGCTGTGTAGTTGAAACGTTGGTAAACATCGACCAGACTACACAGCGCAACAACCCAGAAGACAGAAATCTTCATACTCATCGCCCTGATGACGGAGGCAGTATGACCCCTGAAACGTTGGTAAACATCGACCAGACTACACAGCGCAACAACCC